TCTTGTTCTTCAATTTTTTACCTTTACCATAGCTAAATAGGAAAGACTCCTCTCTGTGTACAACTTTATTAGAAGTTACAGGATACCTCTGCATATATAGAGCACTCTGGAAAAAGTTGTACATTGTTTTTTAACTAAACAAGTAATGTTATCTCATTCATGTTTGACATCTACTTAGGTGCCGAGTCAGTTCAGTATCACTGCAGTGTAGATGTATTTGGTTTTTGTTTTTTTTTTTAAAAAAAGGCGTTTTTAACAAGCTTTTCTTGTTAAATTTTTAATTTGGAAGCTTACCATGATAACCAAATCACTTCAAATGCAATATGATAATGAATACTTTTTCCCATGGGAAAATCCCAATCTTGGGTCTACACCAGAGCTGGAATTTCTTTCTTGAAAGTTTATATAAGAGGCGTTTCTAGTGATAATGGACATCTTATGCTCTTCAACGTTTTGCTCCATTAGACGTGGTTAGAAATTTACATCACAAAGCAAGTGACCTCTTTTGACCTTTAAGAAAGGATTACTGTTGCTGCTACTGAACTCTTACTTTTGATTTCAAGCATTAGTGTGATGATGATGTTCAAAGGGTTTACCCATGAGCAGGAATTTCACTATAGGCCAAGCAGTACGTGAAAGTCTAGAATCTGTCTTTTAGTGACCTTAACAATGTTTAACATTAATAAATTGTATTTCAAATTAGTATGAATATGGAATACAGCTGTTTTAGCTGTTACCTCCAGTAAATTGGGATTATAAAACTACCACATCATTTCTCAACTAGACACTTAAGAATACCACTTATGCTAGTGTCTTAGAAGGGGAGATGGATTTTCAAAATGAAGGAATTGTAGGCACACACTTTTTTTTTCTTCATTTAACTGGCTCAATCAAACTCAAATACTAAACTCCAATCCTGCCAAACTGTTGTACACATGTTTTCAAAGGCACTATTGACTTGCATGCAATTAAGCATGTGTATAAGCATTTGCAGGCCTTGGGTCTTAATTCTTAGCTGTGATTTCAACCCTAAAGGAATTTTGAAACCTGAATTAGATTCCCTGGTGTTTTATCAGATATCAAACTATATCATTTTATAATAAAAAAAAAACCTTGTGTATAAACTGTTTATAGATATTTGTGGACTTAAAATACACATGTATATTTTTAAACATTTTTGTTTAAAAGTCTGGACTTCTCAGCCTACGTGTGCAATGAAATATACTATCCTTTTAGTCTAGTTGGCCCTGTTTACTGCTTAGTCTGTTATGAAAGCTTTGCTGCTAACCTGATGGTCTCAGAGAAAAATTGTAAACTATATAGGTTTGTTGCATCAGAAACACTGCAGCAAAGCTTTATATCTGACCACTGGTAATATGAATGTGTCGTATTGACTTGTTGAAGATAATCATAAAACCACATATTTTCAGTGTTTCTTTCCTTATAGATTAGAATACAAATGTCTATTTTTTTTGTAAATAATGATTTTTATAAATGTCTTTCCATCATGATTTCCCCCTAATCATCCATTTCACAAAATCCTGAATATGCAATTATTTATCATACATGATATTATACAAGAAATAGGGTCCCCGTTTCAGAACAAAGTTTATTAAATTCTATACATAAGAACAAATTTAAATAAGTTGTACCTGAAATGTGATTTTCCCCCTTGAAAATAAATGACAAATCTAAAAATGTTTTATGTTTGTGCTGAATTATTTTCTCCTAGAAGTCATTTACAATATTAACAGTGCCATTCTATACATGTCTACTAAGAAACAATTATTGTATTCCATGGAAATTACTCCTAAGTATGAGTGTATAGGATTTGGTTGCTGTACATTGAACAACTAACTACCCAGACTCTCTTCCCACAGTCTGTTATTTAAAGCAGATCTGAAATGAGGAGATGGATATTGGAGGAAACTGAAAAACAGGAATTTAGGGTTACAGTATTATAGGCCGGAAGTCTGCACCAGCCTTTCCCAACCTTGTGCTCTCCATATTTTGGGGAGAGTACCATTCACTCTCATAATCTGGAGGCCCACAGGTTTGCACTAGATTATTCTTTTGTTAGCTCATCATTTTATACACAAGAACACTTAAAGGTGCGGGGAGAGCATTTTTATTGCGTAGAAAATCTGGCATAGTCATCATCGGCTTTCTACACCTTACACTGTACAGGGGCTGCCACGTGGCATAAGCGCTTATACTGTAAAACTAATACGAGGCTACGACTTTTAATTTGGGCGCTCTATTCCTGCACCAAAGTGGATAATCGGGACTTGGCCTGAAAGGGACCGGCCAGTAGTAGCATGTAAACGCAGAAAGCAAGGCAGGGATTTTGCTAAATCTCCGGGCTACCAAGACGCACAGACAGCAGCTCCTGGCGACCATAGCGCTTTCCCCACACGCTTCCTTTGGCGAGGTGACTTTCCAATGCTCCTTTTTAATGACGAGGGCAGCTGCCGACGTTGCTACCCGTGTCAGGACGTGCCTCACAAGACCCCCGAGCCCAACGACTGACCGGAGCTGCTCCACTGGCGCGCAGTTAAAAAGCAAGGCTCCGGGGGGAAACGGAGAAACAGCCAAGAAAAGTAGGCGAGCGCCCCGCAGCTGCTGCAAGAGCTGCGCTCCAAGCGCCTCTTCTCGCCCGGCAAAGCCACCTTGGGACGCGCGCCAAGGCGAGAAGCGGAGAGCGGCTCTCCTCCGCCTCTTCCCGCCCATGAGGGCGGAGGCAGCAGCGCCGTGACCGCCTTCCGCCGCTGCAACAGCCTCCGCGGGGTGATTGGTCACCCTGGAAACCAGCAACAGCTGCGGCTCCGTCCTGCAGCAGCAAAAGAAGGAAGAGGACAGGTAAGAACGCGCCGGCGGGAGGCTTGTTGGGACCCCCGAAAACGGGGGTGTCGCCTGGGGAGGTAGAAAGGCGGGAAGCGGAGTGGCCTCCCACCAGCACGCGCCCCCGTTCCGGCAGGCCTCTTGCGCCTCAGGCAGGGGGTTCTACCCATTGCGCGGTTACATTCAGAGTCGGCCCGCTTAAATTAATGGACGTGACAAACTTAAGTCCATTGGTGCACGTACTCCGAGGAGAACTTGGGCGGCTACAATCCAGAAATTAGACTGTTGAAACTCCCCACCACCCCAGGGATTTTGCAGCAGTGGGGGAGCTCTTCGTGTATATTGGCTTTCTGCCTGTCCTACTCGTAGTTGAAGGCACAGGGTCCCTTAGCTCTGGTATTTAAAAGAAAGAGAGATGTTAATCTTCATGCTGTAGCTGTGTACAGACGAAGGCTAATTTTATTCTGGAGCCTCCCCGTTCTAATCATTTGCATTTGAATGCATCTCCCGCCTTTTCTCATTGCCCCACAAGAAGTCATTTCTTGGAAGTCTGAGGAACAATACTGAAGAGATACTGCGTCTTCCTAAGGAGAGACTAAATGTGCAGGTGGAAGGAAGTTTGTGGACTTGTAATAAATACACACAAAGTGTGCCCCAGAGGTGGCTCATGAGTTGCACAAGAGCAGCTGAGGTGGCTGCACTTCTTTCTCCTCTGCCCACCCCGTTGCAAAGCGGGATGGTCAATTTGTAATGGTTATTTGTTGTTCAAGGTGCCAGTCCACTTCAGGAGGCCTCAGGCGATCCTTAGCTTACAACAGCAGTAAGGAAAGGACTTGTATTGTTTCCTATGTGTGTGCATGCATAATGCCACTTTATGAGAAGAATTGGAGGAGGAGACGACAAGCCAAATGAATGGTCCAGTTCTTCCAAGTGGCATGCCACTATTCATGAGTAAACTTCGTTCTTCTTTCAGAAGGGTTATACATTAGTCCGTTACAGCAAAAGCAGCAAAAATTATGGCATTTCTTACCATTTTTATAGAATAAGGTTGTGAGAGTAGAGTGCATGCATCTTCTGAGGTGGAATCTAGTTTATGAATAATACCATAATAAATTTGTTGAGACTTTTGGTTGTTTTTTATTTCTGAGTAAGGCATTGCCTTGTCACATATATTTTTTTTGACATTGCATTTATTTACAGTAAGTCATTTTTTGGAGTATGGAGGACAATGCTGAAAAGATACTAAGCCCTATAAGGAGAGACTCAATACACACAGAGATGGAAGTTTGTGTGGTTATGTTCTACCTCCCTTGCCATCAGCAGAATGCCTCTGAATACCAGTTGCTGGGAGTCTCAAATCGGGAGTTGTGCTCATGTGCTGCTTTGGGCTTCCCATAGGCATCTGGTTGGCCACTGTGAGAACAGGATGCTGGACTAGAGAGGCCTTTTGCCTGATCTGTCAGGACTTATATATGTTCCACAAACAATCCTTCTGAATCGGGCAGCTGTGGCCTCTTTTGTGGCATTAAAAAAATGCTCCACAGCACTTCTCACCCATTTCCAAAGCCTTGCAGCACTTCCAGCATACTCTGGAATACTTGGAGTGGCTTCTGCTGCTGTGGAAGTGCTCTGTAGGCCTTGACTACTTGCCAAGAAGCAACAGTCCCTGAAGGCTTTGCTTGGGTACCACCTTCTTGAGGAACCTGCAACACCATGAAGCAGTGGTTCCTCAAAACTTCCTTTGCCTTTCCTGATGGGAAGCAAACCTGGATCAAGCTGAAGATGCAATTCCCAAGGGAGTAGCCCTCTCTTTGTTGCTTTTCAGCCATTTCCTAAAGCCTCAGAAGATTAATCAACATATCCCAGAATAGGGCACCGAGTGGAGTAAAATTGCCACACTTCTTGCTAATTATATTTAGTTTGTTGACCCCCACTCCCCCCAATAATGGAATGATTATTGAAACCATTGAGCCAATACTTTGGGGAGCTCTCCCAATACCTAGGTATAACCACTCATGCTTCCACTTCACAGACTCTGTCCATTTCCAAAGACTCTCATTACAATACCTTGTGTAAGAGGCTTTGCTCTGATACCAGATGCCTATATACTTTTAGGTCACAATTATGTTTAAAAAATACATTTCTTGTATCTAGAAAACATGTCGGACACAATGAAGGAAAAAGCGGCCCGCTTGTTAAAGAAAAGAGGCAGCATATCCTCTTTAGGAAGCCATGAAGTCAGGGCGAAAGAATTTTTTGGAAGAAACAAAGAGTGAGTAGCATATTTATCATTTTCTGACTTTTCTTCCCACCAGTTCTTCGGTTTCTTTGGAAGACCATTCCATCTGGACAGTATAAAAAATACTCTTCAGGCTTTTGCAAATGTCATGCTCAGTTATTCTTTTTCTACATGGGGGTGGCTGGTAATGGGTGGGAAACCCACCTGGCTTTCAGCTGCTTTGAACCTAGTGCCTGCTTTAGGTAAACAAAGAGCTGTGCTACGCAAGGGCAACGAGGAGCACCCATGCTCCAGATGTAAGAGTAGCAATCAAATGGCCTGATGAAAGGGCTAAAAATCAGAACTCACATTTTCTTCACAGCATGTAGTTCTGCCCTAACTGGCCATGTACAAATACTGTGCTGTGTCATCATATGCTTCGGCACAGGGAGAGTTGAAAGGGGAAATGGAAATCTCACTACAGCCAACCAACCACACCCTAGGCCACCTCCCAACCTCTCTTATCACGAAGGAAATATAACAAGCGAATAGAAAGAGAACCCACACAAGTGATGCCGGCGCAAAACCCCATGCATACACTAAGCAGAAGAATAGAAGCATTACCACCCCACCCCATCCCATCGCACGGACCCTCCCTACTCTCCCCCTCTTTTCTTCCTAACCTAATACTGCATGCAACACTAATGTCTCACAACAAATGAAACTGGTCTGTAGAAAACACATTTACAGTGGTATCTCTAGTTACAAACTTAATTTGTTCTGGAGGTCTGTTCTTAACCTGAAACTGTTCTTAACTAGAGGCATGCTTTCACTAATGGAGCCTCTTGCTGCCACTGCGCCACCAGCACACAATTTCCGTTCTCATCCTAGGGCAAAGTTCTCAACTTAAGGTAACTCTTCCAGGTTAGCAGAGTTTGTAATCTGGAGCTTTTGTAACCTGAGGCGTTTGTAACTCGAGGCACTACTGTACAGTGGTACCTCTGGTTACGAACTTAATTCGTTCCAGAGGTCCGTTCTTAACCTGAAACTGTTCTTAACCTGACCGATTTCTGTTCTCATCCTGAGGTAAAGTTCTTAACCCGAGGTACTACTTCCGGGTTAGCAGAGTCTGTAACCCAAAGTGTTTGTAACCCAAGGTGTTTGTAACCCGAGGTACTACTGTATTAAAAAAGAAAATGCATGTATTTTTGTAAACAAATAAATCTTTAATAGAAATTATTTTTTAAAAAAAAGAGGGAAAATGGAAGGAATGGTAGAGCTTAGAGCAGATGTTGGGAGTCTTTGGCCTTCTAGAGGTTGCTGAACTACAACTCCATCATCCCTGCCCATTGGCCTTGTTTGCTGGGGCTGATGGGAGTTGCAGTTCAGCAACATCTGGAAGGCCAATGGTTCCTCATCGGTGACTTGGAATCTAAGATAGTTGAAGGGGCAGGTAGGCGGAGCATCATTCCTCTGATGGTTTCTAATCACTTAGGAGGCACTCTGACAAGGATTCCCGACTAGACCAGAATCAGGAAGTACAGAGTCTCAAGAAGTAGACACCGTGTGCTGCTGCCAATTCTAGAATAGTGGGTCAAGGACAGGGTTACAGCAGCAGCACTGGTAAATGGGAGCTGAGGAGCCACTGCAAAACTCCTGCTTGGGTTTACCTACACCTGTTCTCTCTAAGGGCCAAGGGTTCCCTACACTGGGCTTAGAGCAGGCATGGCCAAACTTGGCTTTCCAGATGTTTTGGGACTACAGGTCCCATCATTCCTAGCTAACAGGACCAGTGGTCAGGGATGATGGGAATTGTAGTCCAAAAGAGCTGGAGGGCCAGGTTTGGCCATGCCTGGCTTAGAGACCGAGAGACTTCTGTAGTCTTGTAGCCCAGCTTCCATCCTCTATGGGTTTACTTAGGAGCAAGTCACACTAGGTTCAATTGGACCTCCTTGCCTACCCCCTCCAGTAACTGTGCATGGTCTTGCAGACTTAATAACACTGAAAATGTCCAGTGTCGTTGTGGAAGATGGTTTAAATCATGCGTGCCCTTCCAGATGTTTGTTTATCTGATTTTTATTCCACCTTTCCTCCCAAGGAGCTTAAGGTGGCATTTATTGTTTTTCCCATCCCCATTTTATTCTCACAAGAACCCTGTGAGGTAGGTTGGGCTAAGAGACAGTGACTGGCCCTAGGTCACCTAGCAGCTGAGTGGAGATTTGAAACCAGGTTTCCCAGGTATCCTAGTCTAACACTCTAAGCACTACACCACACCAGCTCCAACTTCCATCAGCCCCATTCACCAAGGCCAGTGGTCAGGGATGGTGGCAGCTGTAGTCCAGCAATATCTGGTGAGCTACAGATTAGCCAGTCCTGCTTTAAACCCTCTTCCAGTGTCATTGGTGTTGCCTGACTTTGTTCTTATCTCAGAAGTGCTTAAAATTCTCAGACTGTAATTAATGTTGTCTCTCCCTAATTCTTTCCAACACCTAAAATGTTGTATATGACAAGTTCAAAGGGATTTAACATTTTACAAATCACTGTTTGAGAAGGGCCTCATGTTTTATTTTAGAGCATTGCTTCGCATACTGAAAATGTTTCTTTGTTTAAGAAGGTTTTCCGTGAGATGTGACCCAGTCATATATACAGAATCATAACTCAGTGTCTTCAGGGGCATGACATTGTTATAAATATGTAAAAGATAAATAAATAAAATTAGGTGGGGTTTTTTTAAAATCAATGTAGCTTTCAAGAAATCACATTTAATACAATTATTACTGGGTTCGGTTTCAGCTCCATAAGTACTGTGTCTTACATGGATGAAGCTGGCCACCATGATGATATTCTTCGCCCTGGGGTTCAGATGGAAAACACATACCAGTTGGGTAAGTATCTTATCTTACTCACTTTCTTGCTAATAATCTAGTCCCACTCTCTGTAGCACTATACAAATAATAAAAGTAATAGTAATTATTATTATCATCTTTACCGTATTTATTTGTTATATTTTATGCCGCTGTTTACATTATTGCAGTCATCCTACAATGAATACATTGCAACTGAGGAACAAACAAGAATAGCTGTATGTAACAAATAAACCATTTAAATCTTAAGTCTTTTGTATACAACAGTAATAGCCTTAGGGCAGACAAAGCATATCCTACTGTTGGTAATTTCTGCAGCGTACAGGCAGTTTATCACCAAACATTCAAGTATGACTATTGTGGTATAATGATCAAATAAATTGGAAAGACTGGAGCTTTTCTTTTTGCTTCAAAGGGGGGGAGCCATAGATGCAGTGTAAATATATAAACTAATTTAGAAAGCTGCCTGAGGCAAGCTTCTGCTCATAAGCCTCTTGAGGAGTCACCTGGGCATTCTGCGTGACACAGCGCATGATCTATTTTTGGCATAAAATAGCAAAAGAAATTCTTTCCAATGAGAGATATTCCATGTTAGGATATAATTCCATATTTGGTGGAGAATAAAATGGAAAACTAGAATGCTCAAGCTTTGAAATTAAAAAGGTGGATTTATTTGACCAAGTATTTCCAAAAAACATTGTGCTTGAGTACCTTAGGAAATACATTATACTTTTGTAGCAATACTTATTTAAATTAAGGAGGGGGGGAAGGAGTGTTATTTCTTTTTAAAAAGGTTATAATCTTGTTATTTTATAGTTTGGTAAATTGTAAGTGTTCTTCACAGACACGCAACCTGACGGAAGCTCACAGGCCCCCAGGGGTCCACAGACTGTAGTGTGTGGGCCCTTGGACTAAGTTCCCATCATCCCTGACCACTGGTCCTGTTAGCTAGGGATGATGGGAGTTGTAGTCCGAAAACAGCTGGAGGGCCAAGTTTGGCCACCACTGAACTAAGTCATTGTTTCACTGGGTAAATGTGTGCACAGTTGCCAACCCCGCCCCCCCCCGTTAATATCACAGCCTTCCAAAATAATGATGTGAGCTCTCTCTCTGCTCCAGGTCCTGCAAAGTGCTTTCCAGTGGGCACTGTGAATAATATCTTGAAGGATGTAGTAACAAGTTATCTTCAAGAGGAAAAATATGAAGCCGAGTTGTGCAGACAAATGACAAAGACCATCTCTGAGGTACACAATTTATTAGTAAAGCAAAGTTGGAAAGTATATCCGAGGTATAGCCTATAGAAATCTCTGCAGTGCAGGGGGGCGAAACCCTCTGCTCAAGGTTTTGGTTATATCAAGGAGACTGCCAAAAACTACTTTGTAGTAGTGTTCTGTATTGGGGAGGGAGGCTTAATACTTGAAAACAGGTCACCCGCCAATCAGTGCCCCTGATGATGAGGAGAATCCCCATGCCCCCACTCACAGCTACCAGAAATGCTAGGGCTGCAATCGTATTTACACTTACTTGGGATTAAGTTCCATGCAGGACTTGCTTCTGGTAAAGCATTTACAGGAACAGGCTGTGTTAACTACCAGCTAATTTTACAGGACAAAATCCATCCAGTTAAGCCTTTAAGTCCCATGCAGATGTGAAATTGTCTTATTTGAAGTGCAATGCATCACTGGTGTATTTAGATTCCTGCCACTAGAGTAAATCAGTTAAACATTTGAACACAGCTGTATTGTATCCTAGGTAGTTTGTATTAGTTTGCTTATGAGACCATGTATTTAATTGCTCCCCCCTCTCTCTCTTAGGTAATTAAGGCTCGAATAAAAGACCTGATGATACCAAGGTATAAAATTATTGTGATTATACATATTGGACAACTAGACAAGCAGAGCATGCAGATTGGAAGCAGGTGCCTCTGGGATACTACAAGTGATACATTTTGCTCGTACGCCTTCAAAAATAGATCTCTGTTTGCTCTCGCAAATGTCTTTGCAGTTTACTCTGAGTAGCAGTAAAAGTTCAATATGAAGTCTATGTGACCCAATAGACAGATACTATTTTTAGGCTGCAATCCTATGTACGCTTACAGGGAACAAGCTCCATTGAATACAGTGGGTCATTGGTCTGGGTAAACCTTCATAACATCGCTCTGCATATGTAGACTGGCCAAACCAGTAGATTAGTTCTTCTCTGTGGGCATGAATACTCTGAAGATAACAGGTGTTAATACCACTTGTGCAATTCTCATTTCTGGTGTGGAAGTGCAGTGTTTGATCATGTAAACATTCCCAGGGTTGGATTCTGTATCGTATTAGTGATATGCATGAGGCCTAATTCATTGTGTTTATGTTCTTGAAAAAGTATCAAAATACAGAACAAGTTTACACTTGTCTGTTCTTATCAAGGTGATTTCCTTGAAGTGTGGCCCTTTTGCTTTACGTGTGAACGCTCATTTTTGCATTTGCAGGACGGTGTGTATTATGTCTCCGTTAAAAGGCAATTTCAATCCCACCCTTAACCATACACAATGGGTGATGGTGGCGGTTACTTTCTTAATGTTCCCTTTCAGCCCTTTTAAAAGGCTTGATATGGGCTCCACTGTGCAATGGAGCACCCAGCTTCTTAAAAGTGAGCTTTGTCCAGTAGCTGAAACTGAATAGTCTGAAGGCAAAGTGTGGAGAATTTTTTAGCTAAAGTTTTAAGGAAGAGCCTGGAGAGTCAGTGCTTGGCTCACCTCTGGTATTTGGGTTACAATATGACAAGGGGCTATGTGCTGTCTGGCTAGCATGATGTCACATATCTGATTGTTGTCGGTAAAGCTGACTAGCACATTTACTTCAAATCACAGTGGGCCAATGGAGTCTGCCATCTTGTCTTCCAAACAACACATGTGGAATGAATGCTACATCATGACATGCTGTTATTTCAACCGTGGCATTGTGAGGGAACACGACAGCTCAGTTGACCACTGATTGCAGCTGTTGTACCGCTTGAAACAGCTCAAAAGTTTTGTTGAGGCAAAAAGTAGTTGATATATTATTTTTAAAGACACTGCTGTCTCTGCCTTTACTGGTAAGCCCTGCCTCCAAAAACTTCACGCCCTTCTGCCCCCCCCCAATCCATTGGATTAACTCCTCCAGTGTTTTCCCATCCCAATTTCCCACCCTCATTTTATTTAGCAACATTTATATGGCACTTAATTTTTTTTAAAAAAACTTCTAAGTGGTTTACACAAAAGGTATAAAATATTCATCAAATATTTTGCAATAAAAATATAGCAATGAAAATAAGACTTTTAAAATGGTAGACATAATCCCAGGAAAAGCTTTTCTGCATTCATTCATCCTGAAAGTTAATCTAGAAAGGTTCGTCAGAAGTAAGCTGCATGTTCCTAGGAACTGCATGTTCCTAGAAGCTGTCTCATGCATGGTTAGACCATTGGTTCATCAAGCTCCATATTGTCTACTCTGATTGGCATCTGCCTTCCAGGATTTCAGATA